GTAAACAAAATGGTCCATTTCCTTAGATCAAAGAGCCTCTTCACCACATCAAGGAACCACGCTTCCCCCTCCATTAAAGGGTATGTGTGGTGGAAATATCCCTCATGCCTCTTGCTGATTTTCCCAGAAGCTAGATGCAGCAACACCAGCTCAACTTTTCCTTGTCGTTAGTTACTCATTGTCTGGAAAGGCTATAAAATATCTGCAAGAAAAAAGAAAAGTACATTTTTCCTATGAGAATGGACTTTTGAAATACCCTATACATATATTTTTTTATATAAAAATATAGTGGACATTTTTCACTGAAGGATATGACAATCTTGAAATGAAGGAAACAAGTTAATAATTAAAGTTATCCTTTATTTACAGCATCATAATGCATTTTCTAGGGATCATTTATGGCATGATTATTTTTGTCAATGCCAACATGGTTTCCATACACAAGCACTTCAGTAAGAATGCTAATGTAAAAATCATACCAACAATATGACAACTCCATTTCCAATCTTACATGAGGATAATGACATTATCATCCAAGGAGTGATATGACAAAAGCTCATGTAATTTACCTGTTTGTGTGAGCACTGAAAGTTAGTGCCAAGATGTCAAAGTATGAGACTAATAGTTTACTGGTAATAAGACTGGAATGCCATTCACACTAACACACCATACCATGCATACTTTATTAATGGACACTGGCACCAAAGCTTTTAGAACTAAGTTGTGATGGTTGTTAGGGAACTGAAGACAGAGCCAAGAGTGCTATTGCATATTCACTTGAGGTTTCATCACTTACTGATTTGTACACAACTGAATTTGGGAGACCTTTTTTTTTTTTTTTTTTTTTTAAGTATTCTAGTATGGATGTGTCAACCAGGTAAAGGTTTGATATCTAGGAACAATAAGTCTTGTCCTTCACACACACAGAACAGCATAGTCCTAACAACTTTAATTAAAATAATAACTGTCTTTATCACACCAAGATGGAGAGGAAGAAATGGTTGGAAAAGCAGAGACAGTGTTAGTGTGTGTTAGTTACTATTTTGTCCTAGGCACATGTCGATTAGACATGCGTGCGCGTATTTAGTTACCGGTTTGTCCTGTGTGTGTGTGCGTGCGCGTGCATGCATGCGCACATTGTGTGTGCATGTGTGTGTATGTGTGTGTGTGTGTGCATGTGTGTGTGTGTGTGTGTGTGTGTGTGTGTGTGTGTGTGTGTGTGTGTGTGGTGTGTGGTGTGTGTGTGTGTGTGTGTGTGTGTGTGTGTGTGTGTGTGCACCTGTCCTGCCAAGTGAGTGTGAAGCAGAACACTGTAAATGTTTTAAAATATAGTAGGATTGCTGGTGACTTTTTTCTGTCTCATAAATATGCAAGATAACAGGTATATCTTGTTATTTCTACTTACACTTAGGTCATACTATGCATGCATGTACACATTTGTATACATACCCATCATTTTTCTTCTTTTTTCTTAATAGTTCTTCTCCTTATTTATTTTCTTTCATCTCCATGGGGAAGTGGAAAAGAATCTTTCCTCCGTAAGCCACATGTGGCGTAAAGGGCGACTAAAATGTCAGGAGCAAGGGTTGAGTAACCCCTTCTGTATAAATTACTAAATATAAGAAGAAAAACTTTTAAGTTAAGATGTTTCAACATGCATGGATATAGTGCATATAAGAAAGAGATGATTGTCAGTGTTATGAATGAAAAGATTAATGGCCTAGCTCTAGGTGAAAAAAAGCTGAAGAGGGTAGGAGTGTTTCAGTGGGGAGAAATAAATGAGATTAGTTCAGGGGGTATTGGAGAGTGTTAGAGCTAAGGAAAGAGTATCAATAATGTTGAGTGATCAGTTATGGCAGGAAAAAAGTGGGAATATAAATGTATAAATTCAAGGAGTGTGTCTATTAAAATAAAGGTGGGATGGGAAAAGTGGGTTATATTAAGTGTTTGTGCACCTGGAGAAGAGAGGAGTGTAGAGGAGAGAGAGGTTTTGGGAGTTCTGAACCAAGTAAGAGTAATTGTGGGGGATCTAAATGCTAAAGTGGGAGGAACTGTTGTATTAGGCATAGAAGGTAAGGTTGGCGTGCCAAGGGTTAATGATTATGGGGAAAGTGGGGTCTTTGACTGAACTTTGTATTCAAAAATGTTTGGTAATAGGAAATACATACTATAAAAACAAGAATAGGTAAATAAGTATGAGATGATATAGGGTGTAATGACAATAGTTTGTTGGACTATGTATTTGTGGATAAAAGGTTGATGGGTAGGCCTCTGGATGTCCATACTTATAGAGGGGCAACAGATTTATCAGATTTTCTAGTTGTAGCTACAGTGAGAGTAAGAGGTAGATGAGGTACGTGGAGAATAGCATCAGCGAGTACGAGAGAGAGGTGAATGTTTATGAACTAGAGGAGGGGGTAGCTAAGGTATGATATAAGCAACTAATGGGAGAAAGATGAGTGAGAGTATAGGTAATCAGGAGGTTGAAGAGATATGGGGCAAATTTAAGAATGCTATGTTAGTGTGTGCAGCAGAAGTGTGTGAATATAGAAGGGTGGGTGCAGGAGGGAAGAGGAGTGATTTGTAGAATGATAAAGGGAGTGATAAGGAAGAAAAAGTTAACATTGAGAGGTTTTTACAAAACAGAAGTGATATAAGAAGGGTGGAGTCTATGGAGAGTAAAAAAAGAGAGGTTAGGAAAGTAAATGAGTGGTTGAGGTTCTGTCAACAAATTTCGCAAGGACAAGAAAAAGTTTTGTAGTGAGAGGAACTGCGTGGAAAGCCTAGGGAACAAATGGATTTACCAGTTAAAGACAGAAAAGGGAAGTTGAAGGTATTGAGATGGGGGGAATATTTTCAGCTGTTAAATTATGATGAAAGGGAGGTAGTGATTTCATGCATTGGCCTGGGAGGTATGACATTCTTTAGGAGTGAGGAAGAGCCAGATGCAAGAGGGGGGGGGGGAGAGAGAGAGGGGGGGGGAAGAGAGAGAGGGGAGAGAGAGAGGGGGGAGAGAGGGGGGGGAGAGAGGGGGGAGAGAGAGAGGGGGGAGAGAGAGAGGGGGGAGAGAGAGAGAGGGGGGGGGGGAGGGGGGAGAGAGAGAGGGGGGGGGAGAGAGAGGGGGGGAGAGAGAGAGGGGGGGAGAGAGAGAGGGGGGGGGAGGAGAGAGAGAGAGAGAGAGAGCGTGCGTGCGTGTGAAGCAGTGGGTAACATGAAAGGGGGATAAAGCAGCTGGGATTGATGGGATCAAGACATATGAAAGAGGGTGAGGTACCTAGGGATTGGCAGAAAGCATGCATAGTTCCTTTGTATAAAGAAAAGGGAAACAAAAGAGTAAAAAGAAGAAGCCTGTCGAGCATACCACGTAAAGTGCATGGTAGAGAATTAACAGCAAATAGAGAGAGCAAGATCACTGATGAACAAGGAGAATTTAGGAAGGGTAAGGAATGTGTAGAACATGTGTTTACATTGAAACATAAACATATAGGTAAAGGTTAGGAAGTTTTTGCTGCATTTATGGATTTAGAAAAGGCCTATAATAGGGTGGCTATGGAAGCAATGCAGATGTTGCAACTGTATGGAATAGGTGGTAGGTTAATGAAAGCAATTAAGAGTTTTTATGAGGATATTAAGGTCAATGTTAAAGGGTATGTAGGAGAGAAGGCAATTAATTTCCAGTAAAAGTAGGTCTTAGACAGGGATCCATGATGTCACCATGGTTGTTTAACATTTATAAATGGGGTTGTAAAAGAAGTGCATACTAGGGGGTGTTGGGGAGGTGTGGAATTATAATATCCAGTAACTAATACAAAATGAGAACTGTCACAGTTGGTTTTTTGCCAATGACACTGTGCCTCAGGGAGATTCTGAAGAGAAGTTGCAAAAGTTGGGAGGGTATGTAAAAGAAGGAAATTAAAAGTGAACATGGGAAAGAGCAAGGTGATGAGTATAACACAATTTAGGTAATGAAAGATTTGGATATCAGATAAGAGGGAGTATGGAGGAAGTGAATGTGTTCCAATATTTAGGAGTGAACTCATCGAAGGATGGGTCTATCAAAGACGAGGTGAACCATAGAACTGACGAGGGAAAAAAGGCGGGTGGTGCTTCGAGGCATATGCGGAGAAAAATGTCATCCATGGAGACGAAGAGGGAATGTATGAGAGTAGTGGTACCAACACTCCTATATGGGTGTGAAGCATTGGTTATGAATATTGCAGTGAATAGACTGGAGGGAGTAGGCATGTCATGTCTGAGGGCAATGTGTGGCATAAATATTATGCAGAGAACTCATAGTTTGGAAATTAGGAGGAGGTGCAGAGTTACTAAAAGTATTATCCAAAAGGCTGAGGAAGGGATGCTGAGGTGGTTTGGACATTTAGAGAGGATGGAGCGAAACATGATGGGTTGGAATGTGTATAAATCCATAGAGGGAAGGAAGGGTATGGGTCGCCCTAGGAAAGATTGGAGATGGAAAGATTGGAAATGTACAGGAGGTTGTGTGTGTGAGGGGCTTGGGCATCCAACAGGCATGTATGAGCATATTAGATAGGAGTGGAGGCAAATGGCTTTTTGGGACTTGACAAGCTGTTGTAGTGTGAGCAAAGTAACATTTTCAAAGGGATTCAAGGAAACCTGTTAGCTGGACTTGAGCCCTGAGGTGGGAAGTACAGTGCCTGCACTCTGAGGAAGGGGTGGGGATACTTGCAGTATAGAAGGGGATCTGAACTGTAGTATTGGCATGCCTCTGACAAGACAGTGATGGAGTGAATGATGGTGAAAGTGTTTCTTCTTTTTTGGGTCACCCCTGCCTCAGTGGTAAACGGCAGATGTGTTAAAAAAAAAATATATATATAAAATACACACATACTGATAATTCACATTTTTATCTATTTAATAAATAAAGAGTAGCACCAAATCCAAATGAGTAGTGTCTATAGACACACACAGGGCATTCACTGGTAATCACAGACTGGTAGTGCAAAATGAAAATTTTGCCCAACAATAAACTCTTTATTGGTAGTTCTAGAATGCTGAAGGCTTAATTAAAACAAGGAATTCACACTGAAGATCATAAAGATGGAATATTAAGGAAGAAACTGTAGTATTGCAGGCCATTATAACAGCACAAGATAACTCACCGTTTCCAAACGAAATATTTTTTTTAAATACTGGAATGATGCTCCCTGCATTTTCAAGACCTGCCAGAGCCTTTACTCAGAGCTACATTTCTGACTGGACCTATTTTGTGTCAAATTATTCAACAGTAATGAATACTTCTTGTCTTGTAGACTGCTGAAGGGTTCTGAGGATAGGGATAAACAAGTCCCATGTCTTTCTGGCTTAAGTAAATTCACTTAAAAATCACACATTTAATGCCATGTTTAATTATGAAGCACTAAACTAAGCACCTACTTAAGACAAGTAAAACTATTGCAATTCCCCAAATGCTTTACTTTCTGATGACTTCCTGAGTGGAATGATAAACCAACATTTAATGGTATAAGAAAGCTTTGACACAGATCTGTAAATAAGAATTTCAATCTTGAAACTGAAAGTACCCTGAAAATTTACACACTATATATATATATATATATATATATATTAGTAGTGATGTTTTAAAAAGTCTAGAAGAGAATTTGAAACAAATTGAGCATGATTATAAACTGTGTCAAGCTTGATCAGTGGAATACAACCTGTCATTTGAAGTTCAAAGAAACATTTTCCTCATCCATGATATAGCCTTAGCAGTTCAAATTGAGACCATATTCTAGATTTTTTAAACTGGTCCTCATTTTCTTGTCAATTTTAGATTAATGAGAACAAAGGTATTTAAAAATGTGACTAAATATACAGTGACATACAAAGCCTAATAACAAAACTCGATGAGAAATCCTCAGGCTATAAAGCAGACACTCAATGATCATGCCCAGGAATACAGTTTCTCCACATCCAACATACATCTCATAGAAGGTCACTCACTCATGATTGGAAATGTTAGGTGTTTGGCCTGTATTAATTTTATACATATGTTTTTTCCTCATATTCATCAGCAGGAATACCTACTTCACTGCTATACTCAATATTGGGACAATGACTATTTCACATATTTCTGGAAATTAATATAGAGTACTGTTAAAAACATGATTAGGAATTGTATCACTAGTGTGGACGTGTATATTTCGTTTTGATCCAGTTTCAGACCTGTATGATTACTAGTTATCAAAACCCAATATATTAACTACATTTGTTTCATGAGTAGCATTGTTCAGGATAAAATATGTAAATAAATATAATTTGACAAGTTACCATGACATGGAAAAGGAAGGAGCCTTCCCTTCCCATGTGAAACTTGTCTAGGCACATTCCTCTACACTGCATAATACATTAAAAAATTGTGGCTCAGGAAAAAATCAATCCTAGCATCCCTCATCTCAAAAATGTAGTTTACACTGTAGTAGTTAAAACTCAACCTTGTGGTAAAGCAGAAATATTACACTTCACTAAGCCCACTGAAAAAACTTGAAGAGGAAAAACCTTCCTGTTGTTTTGTGGTAGACAACATTCATCACAATAAATACAAAAACCTAAATAAAGGCAATTCCACTGGAGTTTCTATGAGGTTAGAGCATTTTAGACTGGAAGTACATATCAGGCATGTAAATCCTGAGGTGTTGCTGGCAGATAAACTATTCTACATCCTCATACAGTTGATCCTCCCACTCCTTACTCTGATGGAAAAAATGTACATTAAACATAACATGAAATCTGAAAATAAATAAATCTTACTTATGATGAAAATATTATATAGTGATTACAAATGGCCATGTCTGATATAAATTTTAAATTTAGAAAAAATTTACCCAGTGATTTAATCTATAATGCTAATGCATTAGATTAAATCACCCTAGATATATAAAAAGTCTACAATTTATGAAACTCGTCTGATACGTCTTTTCAATTCAATGACTTGTAACCCCTTCACTGTTGGAAGCCCAGAAAATAAAAATACTCACAATGTTAGCATTAAAAAAAAAAAATTCTTCTGAAATAACAGAATCTTTTTCTGAAAGTAATGACACCAAATGTACAAAACTTGATAGGAAACTAATGGAATTATGCAGGTGCAAAGTTAGAGGTTTGGGTGTAATTTATGCATCAGTGATTTTTACCCAATTTGAGTCCTATTCTAAGCTAATTCCACTGCTCAATTCAGCCAAATTATTAGCTATTTTACTAGTATGCTTTCTGTTCTATCACCTGAGCACAAGAAACTGCCCATTCAATAATCAGATCTAATAAACAGCATAGAATTCAGTAATTTGGTCAAATTTACACAAAATTAAAAAAAAAATATTAAAAATAAATACGACATTCCAGACAATAAAGCACAATTTCTTGTATTCATTAATCACATCCTCAGGCCTCTCCTATATTATACTTGCCCTCCATTTTGAATTTATCACAAAAAATCAAAGATTTATGCTGTTTCTTGGATAATAAAATATAACCAGTAATGATTGCTCATGGTTTATGGCACCCCAATAATTATATCAGACCTAAAGAAAACCCTTAAAGAGACTGTGAAGTATATGGGGGCCTTATCTGACCTTGGGAAAACCGTCAAAAATTTAATATTTCCGATACTTTGAGCCCAGTTCCAAGCTACTTCTGGTCTTGAAACCAACCAAAATCATCTCTTGTTTCAGTAGTATATCTTCCATTCTCTCAAATGATACCAAGAAACATCCAACAGAACCACAAATTCCATTCTAGAAAAAAACTCAAAAATGTTATTTTAAACTAAACACAATTCAGAGATTTGCTTTTCCCATCATGCATTGTGTGAAGGTAGGATTTTTTTTTATAGTGTGCACACTCACTGCACAGCCATTCTCTCATACGAAGGCCAAAATTTTTTGCTTCACAGCTTACATTTAGGAGCCGAGCTCAAAACGTAGATTTACTTAAGATGATCCTGGCATTAATAATGCAGATCTACACGAGAGAGTGAAAGGGTTAATCATGTTAATAATTTTAACACTAGCTATCACAAGTCATTTTTTTTTCTAATGCCATGAATTTACAATCATTACTCCATAGTAGTAGTTTATGTAGGTTTGTGGAGCATTGTAATTAAGGCAACTTAATCCTTTTGAGAATACTATTTGTCCACATCAAAAATCAATAATTTATATAAACATGTCCCAAACATCAACCTACTTGTATAAAGAATGTAATGTTTAATGTGAAGGAATACAAGCTTTCCAAAGCAGATGAACATTATCATGAAATTTTCTTTTAGAAATTTAGAAAAATAAATTTTTTTGAGATTTTACCAAGACAGATAGAGAAATAAAACTGACATACTTCATAATGCCTGGTTACAACTGGAAAAATATAGTTAATAAACAGCCAAAGAATAATAATATCCCCCATATCAAATCTAAATTTGTTAAACACTTCAATAAATGGTCAAACCAAATAATCAACTACCTACCTTGAAAATAAATTTACCAAATTACATATACACAGAAGTTTATACCAAGGAGGTTAGAAAAGACACACCTTTAGGAAATATTAGCTCTGTGAAGGAGTGTCTGCTACTGCTACTGGCAATCCGTCCTGTTGACTGTGGTCATCCGGCAATACTTCACTCTTGCTGAGAACAGGAGCTGTCGTACCTGCGTCACTGCTACCTGAACTCTTGTCATTGTTCTTCAGAAGGCCTCGAGATGATAGGAAGCTGAACCAAATGTGCGAAGTTTGTAAGCATGCAATTTTAACACTCCAAACACAAGACTTAAAGTATCAAGTGAACAGTACTTGTTAAAGGCTTCAATTGCAAATGAACTGATGTATGTAATATAGTGTGTACAGTTATATCTGTGTGGATAATCTGAATTGTGAGGTCAACACACTTCTGGAAATGAAGCAGTTTAACAAATGATGGTGAATGTGTTTTCTTTTGGTCACCCTGCCTTGGTGGGAGACAACCATTAGGGTAAAATAAAATAATAATAAAAATAAATAATAATGCTAATAAACAGCGGTGAGTGTGTAAAAGGAGAGCAAATGAGAGTGGGTGAGGTTCTGTCAACAAATTTTGTTGAGAATAAGAAGTGTTAGAGAAGTGGGTACAGAGGTGAACTCGTGACAGTAATAAAGGACAGGGAAAGGAGAAAGCTTTTATAATGTTGTTTCACCCTGTTGAACATTATCTTCACTGACTTGAGTTCTAAACAGAACAAAAACATCTTCACAATATAAGACTGCTTTGCACCTATATCATTTTGCAACGAAATCTTCGGAACTGCAAAGACAGTGCTATATAACTACTCAATTCCATGGGAAACGAGAGAATTGATGTTAAATGTATGGGTTGTGTTTTTGTACTCTTTAATATATCATATGTACAGTAGTAATTTCAAAGACACTTTTAGCAGGGAAAACTTTTAATAATTGTGTACACAGAAAAAAAACCCTGAAGAGTCTTCAGGGTGTTTTTTTTTTTAACCCCCCTGAAGAGACTTCAGGATGCATTTATGCTTATAAAGCATAAATGCTTATAAAGAATAAATGCATCCTGAAGTCTCTTCAGGTGGTGAGGTCAGCGGAGAATAAAGTCGGGAAGGAACGATATGTATCTAGGCATCAGCTCGAGAGGTTTTGTGTTGTGCATGTTGATCCTGGACAATGTGTGCAATGGGTTTTGTTAATGTACATATTTCTCTGTTTTATTCTAGTGTCTCAGTGCATGTTTGTTTTGCCCTGTCATTTTTGTGATATATTAGTTGTGCTTTTTTTCCGCAGTCCATGAGATGGGAATGCATAGCAAATTATCTTTTATGAACTCTTAACTCTTTTATATCATTTTATTTGTAACTCTCAGGCCTCTACGTGCAAGATAATTAATCCATGTGTAAGATAGCTTACTTCAAATCTTTTCCAAAACTCACAACTAACAATGTATTTTGGATGGGGGACAGACACACACACACACCTTAATGCAACTTTTACTAATACAAGTAAAAATGTTTTAGTACCCACTGAACAACCTTAATATACAAGTCAATCTCTTATTCCCAATGAGTTAGTTTCTTGAGTGTTTTCTAAGAGGAAAAAACAGATTAAGGAAGAAAAGCTTAAAAGAAAATATTTACCTAAATGGGAGTTTATATGAAAGAAAATAATAATAAAAATATGATTACTTACTTGAAATTATCTATTAAATCATCATGGCTTTTTTCTTCTTCCTTCCCTGGCTCTTCTTCACTCACTGCTGCTTCCAAATTACTGCACACCAAAGCCATGCATTAAGTTAAACCATTAACATCAACTACACAAACAGTGTTATCTCCAAGCAAAGTTAAATACAGCATACACATTAAAATGAATCCTTGAGTTTCTACCCAACTGCATACAGTACTCTAAAACAACCAGAAGAGCTACACATTCGGCAAGAGTTTACAGAGCATGAAGTAGTATCAGGTAAACTCAAGCACATCTAAAGCAAGATGTTACCATCTAAGCAACACTCAACAATATTACTATTATTATGATAATTATATAACTATTAGTGCATTATATTCCTTTAACATATTAAACATTCTTACAAATACAATGAGTCATGGCCACATTACTATATAAACCAAGGGCCAACACATGTAAAAATTCTGATATTTCTATATTTTATGTAGAATTTTAATTGTTAAATAAAATTTATATTGTATTATGTATAATAAAGTACATTAGGGGTGAATTAAATGTGTAATCCTTTTGATTCCCTAGTCACAATAATACTGTTATGATACACAAATAACCCGCACATAAAAGAGAGAAGCTTACAACGACGTTTCGGTCCGACTTGTACCATTTAATGGTCCAAGTCAGACCGAAATGTTGTCGTAAGCTTCTCTCTTTTATGTGCGGGTTATATGTGTATCGTTCCAGTCACAGTATTGTGCCTTTTTTTGTTATTTATATACTGTTATGTTTTGAATCATGCCATTTCAAAACCCCTCATTCTGGATGGAGTTCTATATGAAAGTATGCCCCATCTTTTGCTATCCAAGCTCATAAGTTTCTGATAAAATACATTTAGGAACTGAAAGATCTAAAGCTATTTCACCCTTTACTGTGGTTTACTGTAAACCCCTCCAGCTGTCAGTGACTACTGCACTATCTTAATGAACCAGTAAAATTTACCTTAGTTGTCCTCTCTCTATTTAACTTCCTTCAAAGCAACTTCCACTGTTTGATTCACAGTTTTTACTTTAACATCATTTTCAAAACTAAATCCAAATAATTTATTATATGTACCATATAATAAAATATTTGGATTTATGTATGTTTTTTTTTTTTTTTTATCATCACACTGGCCGATTCCCACCAAGGCAGGGTGGCCCGAAAAAGAAAAACTTTCACCATCATTCACTTCATCACTGTCTTGCCAGAAGGGTGCTTTACACTACAGTTTTTAAACTGCAACATTAACACCCCTCCTTCAGAGTGCAGGCACTGTACTTCCCATCTCCAGGACTCAAGTCCGGCCTGCCAGTTTCCCTGAACCCCTTCATAAATGTTACTTTGCTCACACTCCAACAGCACGTCAAGTATTAAAAACCATTTGTCTCCATTCACTCCTATCAAACACGCTCACGTATGTATGTATCATCATTATATGTATCACAGAAGGAGGGGTATTAATGTTGCAGTTTAAAAACTGTAGTGTAAAGCACCCTTCTGGCAAGACAGTGATGGAGTGAATGATGGTGAAAGTTTTTCTTTTTTGGGCCACCCTGCCTTGGTGGGAATCGGCCAGAGTGTTAATAAAAAATAATAAAAAAAAAATGTATCAGCCTCATACAGTAACAGCACAATTCCAATTATTTTCGAATAAGTATATGTAATGAATTCATTTCCTTCAGAATAAATAGGTTCTCCCCACGAAACCTTTATTAGAAATATTTCAATAATACTGCATTAGTAATGTCAAGGTAAAAGAAATACACATTGTGTAAGTACTTGCTTCCCATCTTTGCTTTCCACAATGTTTCAGTGTAACTGTCATACTTCCATTTTGCATATTTAGCAATCAAACAATACCATAATAATATTAATTAACAAGCACACTTTGAATGCATGCAATTATACATTAAATATTCACAAGGTTATTTTTGTTAGTTCTGCTACAAGAAAATATCATGCATTTAACATAAACCAAGCTTAACCCTTAAACTATCCAAACGTAGATCTACGTTCATGTGCGTAGCGCTCCGACCTTGATTTTCCCCATTTGAAAGAACGTAAAAAACGTAGATTTACGTTTGGAGCCCCCCGCACGTGAACGTAGATCTACGTTTGAACAGTTTAAGGGTTAAATGCAATCCAGTAAACCCTCGATTTAATGGACTTCAGAAACACAAGACAAAATCCACTGGGTCACAATCAGTTTGAAAACAATGGACAAAATCCACTATTTATAGAATTGTCTATGACTTTTATGACCACAGCAAAGCAATCACTTCTTTCCACCACAGTGACCTTGGCCGGCCGGCCACCCTCTTTCCTCTCTATTAGTATATTAAATCAAGAGCTTACCAAAGTTCATTTCAAACAATAGTACTGCACATTTTTACACTTACCTCTTTTGAGGTTCACCTGCAGGAGTAACAGTGTTTTTCTGGTCATCACAGTTAGTTTCAAATGCTGAATCAAAATTCACACTGGAGAAATCTGCTTTGAAGGCCTCTTGGTTGGGTGTGGTTTCACCAAAAATGGTGTTTGAGCTATCTTGCTGAGCCATTGGAGGACCAAAGACATTGGTGAAGTCAGTGGAAAAGGTATCTTTTTTAGGATTATGACTAGGCCCAAATGGACCCATGGTGGAAGCACCACCAAATACATTGCCACCAAAGTCAGCCCAGCCAGTGTTGTCAGAAGTATCTGCCATTGGGGCTGACTGCCAGGGGTTTATGGGTTCATCAGGGCAACTGTTCTGACCACCACTAGACCGTTTGTCAAACACCTCTGCCCAGTCTGAAATTTAATAGATTTTGTTACGAAGGATAAATAGCATCTTACCTTAATTAGAACTGAAAACTAGAAAACAGAATTCAATAAATATTTAAGATGTAATTTTCCATGTGACAGAATGGCCAAGGCATGAATACATCCTACACTAAGTAAATTTCTTAATATGCCTCTTCTAATTATCATTATTTCCATTAGAAAGATGCACTAAACCCACAGGAGACAGTGCCCAAGAAAGGAGGCAATCAGGTTTGATCCCAAGAGATAGTTCTAATTCCTTGGATCATGAGTCCTTCATCCTCAAGGTGCCTTTTTTGAAGGGTCCTTTACTGTACTCTAGTTTCTCAAGGTCTGTAACTTTATCACCATTTCAAATTATCCTTACTAGCCAAAATTTTTGCCAAAACAGATACTCAATTTTAGATCGATACCAATACCTATACTTTTTAATATTTATTTTTTTATTTTTAACCCCTTTAACCGTGTCAGACCCTACAATTAAATTTCCTGCGTGTTGGGGCAAGATTTCATGATTTGTTTGCAATCGTGGCAAGTTAAGAGGCAGGACCAGGATCAGAGAATTGACCCCCTGCAAGCACATATAGGCAAGTACGTGCGATGAAGCATACTGTGTTCATGTGTGTGAGTGTATGTGAAGAACGCTGAAGTTTATGAGGCAGTGTGTGTTGACCTCTATGCTGTATCACTATTGTTCACAGACTTGCATTTTTTCATTTTGTAGCGTATATTTAACGTTATCCTTGGAGGCAAAGGGAATATATGAGAATATAGTGGTACCAACACTTTTATATGGGTGTGAAGCATGGGTTGTAAATGCTGCAGCGAGGAGGCTGGAGGCAGTGTCCTGTCTAAGGGCAATGTGTGGTGTAAATATTATGCAGAGAATTCGAAGTGTGGAAATTAGGAGGATGTGTGGAGTATTAGTCAGAGGGCTGAAGAGGGGCTGTTGAGGTGGTTTGGTCATTTAGAGAGAATGGAACAAAGTAGAATGACTTCAAGAGTGTATAAATCTATAGGGAAAGGAAAGAGGGGTAGGAGTCATCCCCGAAAAGGTTGGAGGGAGGGGGTCGAGATGGTTTTGTGGGCGAGGGGCCTGGATTTCCAGCAAGCATGCACGAGTGTGTTAGACAGGAGTGAACAGAGACGAATGGTTTTTGGAACCTGGCAAGCTGATGGAGTGTGAGCAGAGTAATATTTTGTGAAAGGATTCAGGGAAACCGGTTAGCCAGACTTGAGTCCTGGAAATGGGAAGTACAATGCCTGCACTTTAAAGGAGGGGCATGGAATATTGGCATTTTGGAGACGTGTCTAAGCTGTCATATCTGAGCGCCTCTGCAAAGACAGTGATTATGTATGAATGATGGTGAAAGTGTTAAACGATGATTAAAGATGACTGTGAAACAGAAACCTGTAACTGTTTTGCATGATGGTAGGATTGCTGGTTTCTTTTTCTGTCTCATAAACACGCTAGATAACAGGGATATCTTGCTACTCCTACTTACACTTTGGTCACACTTCACAGACACGCACATGCATATATATATACATACATCTAGGTTTTCCCCTTTTTCTAAATAGCTCTTGTTCTTCTTTATTTCTTCTATTGTCCATGGGGAAGTGGAAAAGAATCTTTCCTCCGTAAGCCATGCGTGTCGTATGAGGCGACTAAAATGCCGGGAGCAATGGGCTAGTAACCCCTTCTCCTGTAGACATTTACTAAAAAAGAGAAGAAAAACTTTATAAAACTGGGATGCTTGAATGTGCGTGGATGTAGTGCGGATGACAAGAAACAGATGATTGCTGATGTTATGAATGAAAAGAAGTTGGATGTCCAGGCCCTAAGCGAAACAAAGCTGAAGGGGGTAGGGGAGTTTCGGTGGGGGGAAATAAATGGGATTAAATCTGGAGTATCTGAGAGAGTTAGAGCAAAGGAAGGGGTAGCAGTAATGTTGAAGGATCAGTTATGGAAGGAGAAAAGAGAATATGAATGAGTAAATTCAAGAATTATGTGGATTAAAGTAAAGGTTGGATGTGAAAAGTGGGTCATAATAAGCGTGTATGCACCTGGAGAAGAGAGGAATGTAGAGGAGAGAGAGAGATTTTGGGAGATGTTAAGTGAATGTATAGGAGCCTTTGAACCAAGTGAGAATAATTGTGGTAGGGGATCTGAATGCTAAAGTAGGAGAAACTTTTAGAGAGGGGAACTGAATGCTAAAGTAGGAGAAACTTTTAGAGAGGGTGTGGTAGGTAAGTTTGGGGTGCCAGGTGTAAATGATAATGGGAGCCCTTTGATTGAACTTTGTATAGAAAGGGGTTTAGTTATAGGTAATACATATTTTAAGAAAAAGAGGATAAATAAATATACAAGATATGATGTAGGGCGAAATGACAGTAGTTTGTTGGATTATGTATTGGTAGATGAAAGACTGTTGAGTAGACTTCAGGATGTACATGTTTATAGAGGGGCCACAGATATATCAGATCACTTTCTAGTTGTAGCTACACTGAGAGTAAAAGGTAGATGGGGTACAAGGAGAACAGAAGCATCAGGGAAGAGAGAGGTGAAGGTTTATAAACTAAAAGAGAAGGCAGTTAGGGTAAGATATAAACAGCTATTGGAGGATAGATGGGCTAATGAGAGCATAGGCAATGGGGTCGAAGAGGTATGGGGTAGGTTTAAAAATGTAGTGTTAGAGTGTTCAGCAGAAGTTTGTGGTTACAGGAAAGTGGGTGCGGGAGGGAAGAGGAGCGATTGGTGGAATGATGATGTAAAGAGAGCAGTAAGGGAGAAAAAGTTAGCATATGAGAAGTTTTTACAAAGTAGAAGTGATGCAAGGAGGGAAGAATATATGGAGAAAAAGAGAGAGGTTAAGAGAGTGGTGAAGCAATGTAAAAAGAGAGCAAATGAGAGAGTGGGTGAGATGTTATCAACAAATTTTGTTGAAAATAAGAAAAAGTTCTGGAGTGAGATTAACAAGTTAAGGAAGCCTAGAGAACAAATGGATTTGTCAGTTAAAAATAGAAGAGGAGAGTTATTAAATGGAGAGTTAGAGGTATTGGGAAGATGGAGGGAATATTTTGAGGAATTGTTAAATGTTGATGAAGATAGGGAAGCTGTGATTTCGTGTATAGGGCAAGGAGGAATAACATCTTGTAGGAGTGAGGAAGAGCCAGTTGTGAGTGTGGGGGAAGTTCGTGAGGCAGTAGGTAAAATGAAAGGGGCTAAGGCAGCCTGGATTGATGGGATAAAGATAGAAATGTTAAAAGCAGGTGGGGATATAGTTTTGGAGTGGTTGGTGCAATTATTTAATAAATGTATGGAAGAGGGTAAGGTACCTAGGGATTGGCAGAGAGCATGCATAGTTCCTTTGTATAAAGGCAAAGGGGACAAAAGAGTGCAAAAATTATAAGGGGAGAAGTCTGTTGAGTATACCTGGTAAAGTGTATGGTAGAGTTATTATTGAAAGAATTAAGAGTAAGATGGAGAATAGGATAGCAGATGAACAAGGAGGCTTTAGGAAAGGTAGGGGGTGTGTGGACCAGGTGTTTACAGTGAAACATACAAGTGAACAGTATTTAGATAAGGCTAAAGAGGTCTTTGTGGCATTTATGGATTTGGAAAAGGCGTATGACAGGGTGGATAGGGGGGCAATGTGGCAGATGTTGCAGGTGTATGGTGTAGGAGGTAGGTTACTGAAAGCAGTGAAGAGTTTTTACGAGGATAGTGAGGCTCAAGTTAGAGTATGTAGGAAAGAGGGAAATTATTTCCCAGTAAAAGTAGGCCTTAGACAAGGATGTGTGATGTCACCATGGTTGTTTAATATATTTATAGATGGGGTTGTAAGAGAAGTAAATGCGAGGGTCTTGGTAAAAGGCGTGGAGTTAAAAGATAAAGAATCACACAAAGTGGGAGTTGTCACAGTTGCTCTTTGCTGATGACACTGTGCTCTTGGGAGATTCTGAAGAGAAGTTGCAGAGATTGGTGGATGAATTTGGTAGGGTGTACAAAAGAAGAAAATTAAAAGTGAATACAGGAAAGAGTAAGGTTATGAGGATAACAAAAAGATTAGGTGATGAAAGATTGGATATCAGATTGGAGGGAGAGAGTATGGAGGAGGTGAATGTATTCAGATATTTGGGAGTGGACGTGTCAGCGGATGGGTCTATGAAAGATGAGGTGAATCATAGAATTGATGAGGGGAAAAGGGTGAGTGGTGCACTTAGGAGTCTGTGGAGACAAAGAACTTTGTCCTTGGAGGCAAAGAGGGGAATGTATGAGAGTATAGTTTTACCAACGCTCTTATATGGGTGTGAAGCATGGGTGATGAATGTTGCAGCGAGGAGAAGGCTGGAGGCAGTGGAGATGTCATGTCTGAGGGCAATGTGTGGTGTGAATATAATGCAGAGAATTCGTAGTTTGGAAGTTAGGAGGAGGTGCGGGATTACCAAAACTGTTGTCCAGAGGGCTGAGGAAGGGTTGTTGAGGTGGTTTGGACATGTAGAGAGAATGGAGCAAAACAGAGTGACTTCAAGAGTGTATCAGTCTGTAGTGGAAGGAAGGCGGGGTAGAGGTCGGCCTAGGAAAGGTTGGAGGGAGTAAAGGAGGTTTTGTGTGCGAGGGGTTGGACTTCCAGCAGGCATGCGTGAGCGTGTTTGATAGGAGTGAATGGAGACAAATGGTTCTTAATACTTGACATGCTGTTGGAGTGTGAGCAAAGTAACATTTATGAAGGGGTTCAGGGAAACTGGCAGGCCAGACTTGAGTCCTGGAGATGGGAAGTACAGTGCCTGCACTCTGAAGGAGGGGTGTTAATGTTGCAGTTTAAAAACTGTAGTGTAAAGCACCCTTCTGGCAAGACAGTGACGGAGTGAATGATGGTGAAAGTTTTTCTTTTTCGGGCCACCCTGCCTTGGTGGGAATCGGCCAGTGTGATAATAATAAAAATAATAGTTTTTTTTTTTTTCACCTTTCTTTTACTCTCCATAAACTCTGAACTTCTGCTTTGTAAAAACCTCTCATAATCAACCTTTTTCTCTTTTATCGCACCTTTTACCTCATTATTCCACCAATCACTCTTCTTTCCTTCTGTACCCACCCTCCTATAGCCACAAACTTCTGCCCCACATTCTAATACTGCAATTTTAAAACTATCCCATCCCTCTTCAACCCCCCCCCCCCACTACCTATACTTGCACTAGCTCACCCCTCTTCAACCCCCCCCCCCCCATCCAACTACCCATATTTCCACTAGCCCATCTTTCTGCCAAAAGCTGCTTATATCTCACCCTAACTTCCTCCTCCCTTAGTTTATAAACTTTCACCTCTTTCTTACTATTGCCATTTTCCTTTTGTCCTATCTACCTCTTACTCTAACTGTAGTTACAACTAGATAATGATCTGATATATCCATTGCTCCTCTATAAACATGTACATTCTGATACCTACCCATCAACCTTGTATCCACCAATACATAATCTAACAAACTACTTTCATTATATGCTATATCATATCTTGTATACTTATTTATCCTCTTTTTCATAACATATGTATTACTTATTACCAAACCTGGCAATATAAACACAAATGCAGTATAATGTGATCCTTTATTGACTACGTTTCGCCCACACAGTGGGCTTTTTCAAGTCACAAACAGAACTACCTGGGGTGGAAGGAACGCGAGTATTTATAGTCCGGCTGAGGTCAGGTGAAGAATGCTGCATCTGATGATGTACCGAGTTGGGTTGTAGAGTCTAAAAACTTGGGTAGCTTGGAAAGGAGACTGGACAAGTTTGTGAGCAGACCTTCTACAGTGTTCTTATGTGGGATAGCGATGAAGAAGTTTCTTGGCAAGTGGTTCAGCTATGTTATAGAAGCCACTATTCTGGTTGAAGTTGTCGGATATAGAAATAAGTGATGATTCCAGGATTCTTCGGTATTGAGTGTTGTCTTCTGTGGCGATAAGTCTTGAGTTTCTGTAGTTTATCAAGTGGTTGTGTGAATTACGGTGTTGTACGCAGGCATTCCTTGTGTCGTCAGACCTGCTTGCGTATTGGTGTTCTGAAATACGTGTTTGGAGGTCCCTTGATGTTTCGCCCACGTATAACTTGTTGCAGTCATTACAAGGGATTATGTATACCCCTGCAGAGGATGGAGGCTTGTCCTGCCTACTACTGGTGATGTCCTTGATGGACATCACCAAGGACATCAAGGACATCACCAGTAGTAGGCAGGACAAGCCTCCATCCTCTGCAGGGGTATACATAATCCCTTGTAATGACTGCAACAAGTTATACGTGGGCGAAACATCAAGGGACCTCCAAACACGTATTTCAGAACACCAATACGCAAGCAGGTCTGACGACACAAGGAATGCCTGCGTACAACACCGTAATTCACACAACCACTTGATAAACTACAGAAACTCAAGACTTATCGCCACAGAAGACAACACTCAATACCGAAGAATCCTGGAATCATCACTTATTTCTATATCCGACAACTTCAACCAGAATAGTGGCTTCTATAACATAGCTGAACCACTTGCCAAGAAACTTCTTCATCGCTATCCCACATAAGAACACTGTAGAAGGTCTGCTCACAAACTTGTCCAGTCTCCTTTCCAAGCTACCCAAGTTTTTAGACTCTACAACCCAACTCGGTACATCATCAGATGCAGCATTCTTCACCTGACCTCAGCCGGACTATAAATACTCGCGTTCCTTCCACCCCAGGTAGTTCTGTTTGTGACTTGAAAAAGCCCACTGTGTGGGCGAAACGTAGTCAATAAAGGATCACATTATACTGCATTTGTGTTTATATTGCCATTGTGTCGGTATTTTATACCATTTATTTCCATTACCAAACCTCTTTTTATACATAGTTCAATTAAAGGCTCCCCAATTTCATTTACTCCTGGCACCCCAAATTTACCTACTACTCCCTCTACAACATTTTTACCCATTTCAGCATTGAGATCCCCAACCACAAGTACTCCCTCACTCAACATTTCCCAAAAATCTCTCTCTCTCTCCTCTACACTTCCCTCTACTCCAACCCTTATTTTACTCAACATAATCCTTGAATTTATACATTTATATTCCTTCTTTTCCTACCATAACTTATCCTTCAACATTATTGCTATTCCTTCCTTAGCTCTAACTCTATTAGAAACCCCTGACCTAATCCCATTTATTTCTCCCCACTGAAACTCTCCTACCAGGACATCCAGCTTCCTTTCATTCATAACATCCACACTCATCCCTTTCTTATCATTCGCACTACAACCATACACAAGTTTAGACAAATTTTATTAAGAGTTAGGTTCATTTATTTTATTTTGGTCACATGTCTAATACTGTAAATCACTCTAACCTAGTTAATATTCACATTTACAAGAGATAATGACCAGAATAAACAGATTCCATTGTGGGAAAGCCCAGGCCAGAAAAATGTTGAAAAATTACTCTTATTTTCTGATTGATCACCACAAAAACACAGGATAATCGAAATCCGCAAATTAAGTGGGTGGTGGTTTATTTGTGCAGCAGCATGCAAATTTGGAGGGATAATTATCAGTACCATCTACTTTGTTTTCACCAGCTGAGTTTGTACCATGACCAGTTTTATTACATCTTTATGTTCGTATATATTCACTTGGAAAAACATTGCAACTATTTTTTTTAAATCAATTAGTGCCATACCATCAGGATCCACTTCCATTTTAGTCTCTCCTGATCTAACTCCAGAATATTCCTCTTCATCTTCCTCTTCTGAACTAGAACCTGCATCCTTTTCCTTGTCACTGTTGAGGTGAAATAAATGAATACATTTTAAATCCCATTTACTACCTTAATTTTTCAGAGTAACAGTAATTTTTATAAATACTAAACAAAAAAAATGGTAAAGTAAAAGGACACAAAGTGCAACTAATGTGACATTTTATTATGGGACCGTTTCGCTCTCCAGGAGCTTTGTCAAACCGTTACAAACAACTTGACAAAGCTCCTGGAGAGCAAAACGTTGCCACAATAAAATGTCACATTAGTTGCACTTATGTACTTTTACTTTGCATATTGTTGGTAATTCTACCAACATATATATAGAAAAAATGGTATCAATTAAAAAATCCAAACTTTTCTGAATGCAATGTTTCACAAGTTACATTGTTTATAGAGATCTCATATGAGCAAGAGGCTACAACTGCAGACTAAAAGTCAAGTGGTGCTGAATTGACACTAAAGAATACTAAAGACTATTTCTTCAGAGTGGTAGAGTGCTGAACTGAGACATAGGTGGTAATATGTTCTACTACCACTATTAACTTGAAAAATTTAACAGCAACCTGAACACAAAAGGCAAGACACCACAAGCACAGCTCTACTCCTATAACTACAAATAGCTAATCAAATGAGCTGCTGTATATATCTTATACTTTACTTATGAATGCAAACTATAAAGCTTAGTTGCTGCAAAACTGCATTCTCAACTAAAAGTAACTTCCAATTACTTAGGCAAATCTCCTCAATGCTTGCCACACTACCAAAACTTGGTATACAGCTACTTATAAACTAAAACAATTACTCATCACACTAGTTAACAATTACCCTAATTAAAGTAAAGAACAAAAATAAATTTGCTCTTTGCAGTCACTAGAAAACCAGACTTATGTACTTGAGTGCTTAAACATGATACCCAGTTACAACTACAGTACAAAAATAAGAAATTATTACAAAGCTTAAATAATGAGGTCATTATGAAAAAATCTCACTCCAGCACAATGGAAGAAATGTAGTTTTGAAAGTGGGTTAATGTATTTCATATATCTGTTCTAATTTTATGAAATACAAGAAACTACACTTACTTTTCTGACTGCACTGACTCTTGGTTGAAAGTAATTTCTTTTTCTTTATCACTCCACATATCATCAAAGTCATTCATATCTGGACGTCGGTGTGCACACATTTCTTCAAACAAATCGCGATCCTCGACAACTCCACCTTCTCCTCCTCCTTCGATTCCCTGACCACCTGTGAGGGTACCCATTCCCATTTCTGTTGTACCAGATAGAGCCAGTGCTTGTGTACTTAACCGCTGAAGAGGTCCACTGTAAAAGTTTGGGAAAGATATACAGGTATAATAAAAATATTTATCTCACTCCCCATACTCCTCCAAGGTAAGGCAGATTATGAAAAAAAAAAATTCAAACAAATACGTATTACATTCTTCCTAAATAGACACGTCTAATAAAGAAAGCAAAAGCAAATGAAATTTCTTTCATTTTCGTTATAGTAGTTAATATAGGAGAGAAGGGGTTACATTAACCCTTTGCTCTCAATAATTTTGTACTTATTACAGAAGAATTCTCACCTACTTTCCCATGGAGCTTAAAGGTAGCACTACAAGGACAAGAGCTATTACAATAATTAGAAGGAAACTCAGATGAGTGTGTTTACATACACGCACAGCTGCATGTGTAGTAGTGTATGCTGAATGTAAGTAGTAGCAGTAAGATGTACCAGTTATGTTGCATGTTTATTTCAAAGACGACACACCAACAAACTACCAGTGTAAAACAATTAACAGGCTTCCATTTCAGATTTGTTTGACAGGACAACAGTATCTCCCTAATGGGTAGTTTCTGTCTGCAATCCTACTTGAGGCCTGAGCATCCAACAGGCTTGTGTAAGCATGTTGGACTGGAGTGGAGACAAGTGGTTTTTATGACTATGTGCTGTTGGAATGTGAGCAAGGCAACATTTAAGAATTCAGGGTAACCGGTTAGCTGAACTTGAGTCATAGAAATGGGGAGTACAGCAACAGCACTCTAAAGGATGGGTGGAGATATGTTGCAGTTTTTGAACTGTAGTATTGGCATGCCTCTGGCAAGACAGTGATGAATTAAGTGATGATGAAAATGTTGCTTCTTTTTCTGATCACCCTACCTAGGTGGAAAGCTGACATTATAAAAAAAATTAATACACGTCCTGAATTATAAAATGCCTTAGCATTTGATGATATGCATGCATGTGTACTGTATGACCATATGAGTGTTTGTCTGTGATGGTTAACCCTTTGACTGCCGCGGCCGTATATATACGTCTTACGAGGTACCGTGTTTGATGTATATATACTCATAAATTCTAGCGGCTTCAAATCAAGCAGGAGAAAGCTGGTAGGCCCACATGTGAGAGAATGGGTCTGTGTGGTTAGTGTGCACCATGTAAAAAAAATGCTGGAGCACGCAGTGCATAATGAGAAAAAAAAAACTCCGACCGTTTTTTTTTAATTAAAATGCTGACTTTGTGGTCTATTTTCGTATAGTATTTAAGTTGTATTCTCATTTTCTTGGTCTCATTTGATAGAATGGAAAACATATTATAGAAATAGAGGTGATTTTGATTGATTTTACTATAAAAAGAACCTAGAAATGGAGCTCAAAGTAGGGGAAATGTTTGATTTTTGCCAATGTTCAAAAGTAAACAAATGATGCCATTGACCAATAAATGTCCAACTAGCCATTCTAATATGCAGTCATGAATGGGTTGATGTTATTTATACAATTATTACAGAATTGCAGTAGTCTGCATAATAGTAAGTCTTCTATTTTTTGTTTGAATAAAAATTCAAAATAGAAAGCAAGAGTAATAACAGAGGGGCCTGGAGACATGACTGATGAGCAAAGAAAATGTTATTTTAGAGCCAGGAATGTCTGCATTGTTCATTCTGGACCTTATTTTGAAATTGTCATATTTTTTAGTTTTCGTGAAATTGGCCAAATTGCAAATTTCTGACCACATTATTAGGTAGTTGAAATCAGTAAATGGGCAGTTTCTTGTACTCAATCGATAGAAAAAATGGAGTTCTAAAGAAATAGCTATGAGGTTGGGCAACTGGAACAATGGAATTAGCCGAAAATAGGGCTCAAAGTGGGCGAAATCGCTGATTTGTAAACAGCGCCGAGGTCGCTAACTTTGCGAGAGCATAATTCCGTCAGTTTTCCATCAAATTTCGTTTTTTTGGTGTCATTACAATCGGGAAAAGATTCTATCATTTCATAAGAAAAAATATATTTTTTTTTTTTTTTAAATTTTGCGACACCAGGAGACACCTCAGGATTTGGGGTTGCGACAGTCAAAGGGTTAAGAAGAAAGTACACATGTACATGTTTGCACATGCCAGTATAATTAAGAAAACTATGAAATCTATTGACAGTACATCCTCCACTAAACACTAAGCTGATTGGCAAATCTTCCATTATCTCTGTTGGCAACCGTAAAAACTTGACTGGTTCACAAGTGGCCTATATATAAATGCTGATATTGGTTAACTTGGCGAGTTTGAAGAGGACCTCCTGTATCTCACAAAATTATTTATTGCAGTGTATTATTATATAATTCTTATTATTATTTATTACACATCGGCCAATTCCCACCAAGGGAGGGAGGCCTGAAAAAGAAAAACTTTCATCATCATTCACTCCATCATTGTCTTGCCAGAGGCATGCTTACACTACAGTTATAAAACTGCAACATTAACACCCCTCCTTCAGAGTGCAGACACTGTACGTACTTCCCATCTCCAGGACTCAAGTTCAGCCTGCCGGTTTCCCTGAATCTCTTCATAAATGTTACTTTGCTCACACTCCAACAGCACATCAAATATTAAAAACCATTGGTCTCCATTCACTCCTATCAAATACACTAATGCATGCTTGCTGGAAGTCCAAGCCCCTCGCACACAAAACCTCCTTTATCCCCTCCCTCCAACCTTTCCTAGGCTGACCCCTACCCCGCCTTCCCTCCACTACCGATTTTTACACTCTTTACATCCTCTTTACATGTTCGAACCACTTCAACAACCCCTCCTCAGCCCTCTGGATAATAGTTTTGGTAATCCCGCACCTCTTTCTAATTTCCAAACTACAAATTCTCTGCATTATATTCATACCACACATTGCCCTCAGACATGACATCTCCACTGCCTCTAGCCTTCTCCTTGTTGCAATATTCACTACCCATGCTTCACACCCATATAAGTGTTGGTATAACTATACAGTGGACCCTTGAGTTTCAAATGGGCTGACTATCGAACATTTCGAGTTTCGATCACTTTTTTCGAACCAATTTTCTTCCGAGTATCGAACTCTACCCAGCTTTCAAACTGTCGGGTACCAGACCTGTCCACCAGCCTGCTCTGTCCGCATCCCCTCGTGAGCCGGTCTGGCTTTGTTGATGCTTGAGTGAACACTGACCTGCCACTCATTTAAACATTTCACAGTTTATTCATTGCGTTTGGTGCTTGTTTATTAAGTGCGTCTGTGAAATAAGCTACCAAGGTGGTGATGGTGGTTGGTATTGGTGGATGGCCTCATAGCCAGCCAGCCTCATAGCCAGCCAGCCAGCCAGCCAGCCAGCCTCATAGCCAGCCAGCCAGCCAGCCAGCCAGCCAGCCAGCCTCATAGCCAGCCAGCCAGCCAGCCAGCCAGCCTCATAGCCAGCCAGCCAGCCAGCCAGCCAGCCTCATAGCCAGCCAGCCAGCCAGCCAGCCAGCCAGCCAGCCTCATAGCCAGCCAGCCAGCCAGCCAGCCAGCCTCATAGCCAGCCAGCCAGCCAGCCAGCCTCATAGCCAGCCAGCCAGCCAGCCAGCCAGCCAGCCTCATAGCCAGCCAGCCAGCCAACCTCATAGCCAGCCAGCCTCATAGCCAGCCAGCCAGCCTCATAGCCAGCCAGCCAGCCAGCCAGCCAGCCCAGCCCAGCCCAGCCCAGCCAGCCATGTTTACACAACCCCGTGTTCCCTTCAACAATTTTTTTTTTTTGGTAAGTAAAAATATTATTTTGTATGTTTACTTAAATGTTTATTTATCTAATACTAATTGTACTATGTATGTTTGTTGTGTGTAAAACTATAATGTAATCTCTATAAAATGTATTTTTTTTGTGAATATTTCTGGGTTTCTGGAACAGATTAATTGTATTTCCATTATTTCTAAGGGGAAATATTGGTTCGACTTTCGAACATTTCGACTTTAGAACTAGCTCCTGGAACGAATTAAGTTCGAAACTCAAGGGTCCACCGTACTCTCGTACATTCCCCTTTGTTTCCACGGACAGAGTTCTTTGACTCAACATATTCCTAAGTGCACCACTCACCCTTTTCCCCTCATCAATTCTATGATTCACCTAATCCTTCTTACACCCATCTGCTGACACGTCCACTCGTAAATATCTGAATACCTTCACCTCCTCCATACTCTCTCCCTCCAATCTGATATCCAATCTTTTGTTACCTAATCTTGTTATTCTCATCACCTTACTCTTTCCTATATTCACTTTTAATTTTCTTCTTTTACATACCCTACCAAACTCATTCACCAACCTCTGCAACTTCTCTTCAGAATCTCCCAAAAGCACAGTGTCATTAGCAACTGTGACAACTCCCACTTTGTGTTAGATTCTTTATCTTTTAACCCCATACCTCTTGCCATGACCTACATATTCCCTTCTCTAACAACCCTATCTATGAATATATGTATTGAACAATCATGGCGACATCACACATCCTTGTCTAAGGCTTACTTTTACTGGGAAATAATCTCCCTCTCTCCTACATACTCTAACCAGAGCCTCACTATCTTCATAAAAACTCTTCGTTGCTTTCAGTAACCTACCTATTCCATATATACCTGCAATATCTGCCACACTGCCTCCCTATCCACCCTGTCATACACCTTTTCCAAATCCATAAATGCCACAAAAACCTCTTCACCCCTTATCTAAATACTGTTCACCTATATGTTTCATTGTAAACACTTGGTCTACACACCCCCTGCCTTTCCTAAAGCCTCGTTGTTCCTATGCTATCCTACTCTCCAGCTGACTCTTAATTCTTTCAATAATAACTCTACCATACACTTTACCAGGTATACTCAACAGACTTATTCCCCTATAATTTTTGCAATCTCTTTTGTCCCCTCTGCCTTTATACAAAAGAACTGTGCATGCTCTCTGCCAATTCCAAGGTACCTTAACCTCTTCCATACATTTATTAAATAACAGCACCAACCACTCCAAAACTACATCCCCACCTGCTTTTAACATTTCTATCTTTATCCCATCAATCCCATCTGCCTTACCCTCTTTCATTCTACCCACTGCCTCACAAACTTTCCCCACTCACAACAGGCTCTTCCTCACTCCTACGAGATGTTATTCCTCCTTGCCCTATACACGAAATCACAGCTTCCCTATCTTCATCAACATTTAACAATTCCTCAAAATATCCCCTCCATCTGCCCAATACCTCTAACTCTCCTTTAACCCTTAAACTGTCCACACGTAGATCTACATTCACTCGTGTGGCGCTCCGAATATTTTGAAAAATAAAAAAATAGTTTTTTTTTTTTTTAAATGAAGAGCACATTTTTCTACATGTTATAGGATTAAAAAAAATTTTTTAGGGTCAGTACTTACTGAGATATAAGACTGTGAAGTTGGCTCTGAATGCTCACTTGACAGCAACATCAACTCCTGCCGCTTGCAGAAGTGTTGCTGATATACCATTTTTCCTCGTTTTTATTTTAATTTATATATTTTTGTTCTGATAATTACAATTTATAACAGTTCTTCTGATTTCATAGCCAGTCTTTGTTCTGACACTAATATTAGGTACTGAAATAGTGCTCAAATAGTCACAATCACATTGACAGGTGAATATTTACACCTGCCTGGGTTATTTACTATTGTCTAGAAATATATACAAAGTATTTAAAGGTCCCAGCAATGTTTTAGATACCCTGGCGTATAAATTGAAGCATGGTGTTAAGAAAGGCATCCCTATACTGTTGACAGCCCAGTGACATTTGATAAATGCCCACTGCTCCAGCTAACCCTCCTGTATTTGTTATCACTGTTACACACAAACATGTCTTGTCTCTCTATCTGTCTCTCTCAGCTTATCTGTCTTTCTGTCTGCCTGGAGTATACGTACATCAAACTCCTTGAAGAATGGTGTTATGACAACTGTTGACAGCCCAGTGACATTTGATAAATGGGTGCTCAGGGAATCCTGACTTTATTTGTTTTCACTGATACACACAAACATGTTTGTCCGTCTGTCTGTATCTTTGCCTGGAATTTTTGGGTTATCCTAAGTAATTTACACTGTGTGTATGTGTATGTGTGCATGTGAGACAAAGATAGACAGATATACACAGATACAGAGATATAGACAAACAGCCAAAGCCAGCCAGCCTGCCGAATACGTAAGAACATAAGAAAGAACACCGCAGCAGGCCTACTGACCCATGCAAGGCAGGTCCATGTCCCCCCCCCCCTCGGATTAGAAAATGACCCACCTAGTCAGGTCACATTCACTGAAGGAAGGAGCACAACATCAAACCTAGTAGCACAAGCTAGTCAGGTCCAACTCACACCCACCCACACTCACTCATGTATTTAGCTAACCCTCGCTGTATTTATCACTGTTACACAAACATGTCTGTCTGTTTATCTGTCTGTCTGTATCTGCTTGTCTGTCTGTCTCTGCTTATCTGTCTTTCTGTCTGCCTGGAGCATACGTATATCAAACTCTTTGAAGAATGGTGTTATGACAACTGTTGACAGCCCAGTGACATCTGATAAATGGGCACTCAGGAAACCCTGGCTTTATTTGTTTTCACTGATACACACAAACATGTCTGTCTGTATCTGTCTGCCTGTCTGTATCTATCTATCTGTATCTTTGCCTGGAATTTTTGAGTTATCCTAGGTAATTTACACTATGTATAATAACTGTACTTGTGTGCATGTGAGACAGAGATATAGACAGAGACAGCCAGACACAGCCAAAACAAGTCAGCTGGCCAGCCTGCGGAATGCATAAGAACATGAGAAAGAAGGAACACTGCAGCAGGCCTACTGGCCCATGCAAGGCAGGTCCATGTCACCCTCCCCCAGCTTAGACCAACGACCCACCTAGTCAAGTCACATCCATTGAAGGAAGGAGCATGACATCAGAGCTAGTAGCACAAGCTAGTCTCCAATTCACACCCACCCACACTCATGTATTTATCTAGCCTATTTTTACTTTCCTCTTAAAATGGGAGTGTTAATGCGACATGGCATCAGCGAATCCCCGGTGTTTGCCAGGCTATTTGCTCTAGCTGGCGCTCAATTGAACTGGTGCTCCCACAAGGTACTAAGTGCTACCAGATTTTTTTAATACTGCGCACACTGAGTGCACAGGCCCATTCCTTCATGTCTAGGCGACTCAAGCCTATTATGCCAAACTTGAAGGAATGAAAAATAAAACGTTGATCTACGTTTGGAGTGCTACGCGTGCAAACATAGATCTACATTTGAACAGTTTAAGGGTTAATAACTCTCCTCTCGTATTTTTAATTGTCAAATAATCACATTAACTTGCAATTATTGAACACACAAATGCTGTTATCCCTAATTTATATTTATCAAAGATTTACTGCCTTATACATAAACTATCAGCAACAGGAATGATACCATTTGTATTAAAAGTCACTAAAATATGATAATGTTAAATTTAAAATTCAATACGACTCCAAGGTGCTGAAGAAAAGATTAAGCTCATGAAAACAGGGAAGCAGTCTTGATACAACACAAGACTTGTTTCTAACAGCCATTTTCCCTGAGCTCAAACCTCCCCATTCCTTTCTTTCCCTCAGATACATAACCAGAGATAATCAATTTTTATTTTTTACTAAAAGTAAAGCATCACAAGGCATCAAGAAAAGTTAAGTGTTTAGCAGGGCACCAGGTATAGTACACGGGAAATATAAAATTCTTGAATAGCACCTTACCTTAGGTTGTCATCAGGGTCTTTAAATTCATCGTCTGCATAACGGAAGTCACCAATCACATCCATGTCCATTTCTTTAAAGCCCTGGGGAATACAATACACCAGATTGTTCACCTCTCTCAATGCGCATCTTGTTTTTTTGTAATGGCATAACACAAGATTATGACAAAAATTATTAAACTTGTTAATATGAGATTATGAGATTTACTGATTCTGAAGAGTTTGATAAAATTTGAAGAAAGAGGCCATGGAATTTAAAAATGAGTAAAAGAAGTTTAAAACACAAAGAAAGAGTATACTTTTTTACACTAATTAGTCATTAATAGTAATGGTATTAATCATGAAATGTATAAAGGGCAAGACACAAATCAAGGAAGGAATTGTAGTCTAATATATTTCCAAAGACAACAAATACTGTATTTGTTAACATTTTTCCCATAATCATGCTAATCTTAATTCTAAGCTGTCTTTTTCTAAAATTGAAACAATTTTGGTCTTCTAAAACTTTCTGAAGTTGTCAATAATCATTTACAAAGTAAGCTATTTGGCACTATAGTTAGGTACAGAAGCATGGATTCTGCAAGTTCTGTGTAACAATTTGCTGGGATAAAAAACCTGTCATTTAAACTATAAATTGGTTTTCTCAAAGCAGAGTTACTTGCCTCACTGAAGAACATGCCTCTCCTTCAAAAATTCAACCAATTATGCCAAAGTAAGAGAATGCAGATTTAAAAAAAAAAAAAAAGTACCAGTCCCAACCATGACCCCCGTCAAAATCCACATCAATGTAGGCACCCTAAAACATAACTGATATATGTATAAATAAAACAAATATACTGGTCTAATTTCAATCTCTATCACACTTATTTTTTTTAAGCTACTTCCCACCTTGATGTTGTGTTAAGTGCAAAACAATATTCCTCAACTTTCATTCCACACAAACCTCGTACCTACTTATAATCAACTACCGCCTCATCTCAGCCTGGTTTACTTCCCTTGTGTCTGCAATACTTTGTCTACTTTATATCTAAATTCTAAAAAAGCTACTAATTAGCAAAATTTTAATTGCAAACTTTCTAAGGCTTCACTTACTACCATCATCTTCCCAACTAACAATGTGAGTACTCAGCAAATACTCAAACATTTTCAGTCCACAACCTTAATTTAGTTAAGTTGCAAAAATTACTACTAATTCTTTGGCTAACTAATCTTTAAAATAGTTTTTTTTTTCTAGCTATCATGAAATATTAAAAACTTAAAACTTAACATTGAGTAATTCTTTAAGGTCTCCTTATATTCAAAAAGTTTGATGAAATCTATTAGGAATCATTCTAATCAACTTTTTTTGATCATGTCAAACAGCAGTATTGTAATGATTCAATATGTATATCACACTGCTTTCTCATTACTGATCAACAGTTCCAGTACTGTTGCTGTTGCTTTCTAACAGTCAATAGGAAGAAACTTCGCTCACATCTTCAGTTCTGATCTAGGTGGTCACTTAAATTTTAACATCTACCACTTCCCAGCTTCTATAACTAAATAACAGCATCTCTCAAACAATTAATTTTCAGTCAAGTCATTCTCTCCAAAATATCAAACTAAAGCATCAGCTTCTAAGATCAACCAGAACTTTTAGAATATAATTAATGTAGATAAATGTCACCCTGCCTCAGTGGAAGATGGCTGAAGTGTTAAAAAAAAAAAAAAAAAAAAGACATATGCACTGATCAAGACATTTGATAAGAAAACATTCTGCCACTATCTTCCTCAATTCAAACAGAGATTAGCTAGGACAAGCAGTATAGATACTGTTGTACAGTCAGATAAGCATAGATCAAGAGTGACATATAGAGGTTGAGTTTGTAGCATTTGTCCAGGGTGGGCTGGAAGGCTACCTGCAGTCTCACCTCTAATAACTGTCAGTGTTGAGTTGCAATTGTTTGGCCAGTTTTAGATACTGTACATCATAGACGCCTGACTTCTGTGGTAGCGTATTACTCACTGCTGGTTCTAAGTACTGTGTTTCACAGTTTATAAGACGCTCCGATGCATTAGACGCATCCCAATTTAGAAGGCAATAATCAGAAAAAAAAGTTAAAGAGTGCCTAATACCAAGTAATATTTACTCCAATGAAACCTATGGTAAATTTACATGTAGAAATAAGGTTACGTTTCATCTATGGGTAGGTAAAAACATACAATAGGCCTAGTGCCCAACTGAACACCTTATTTCAGCTTGAAATCCTCACCAATCTTGACAAATTCATCACAAGCATTAAATTTATACTAAAATTTACCAGAACCTGGTGTGCTAATTCTAACACAAAATTAATTTGATTTATGGGTTGGTTAAAACACAACAGCCACAAACACCACTCAACATATTTCATAAATAGCTCGTCTCAAAACGTTATTAATTTACTGTAATTTTGAAACACTGGACTTGTTTTAGTTTCAATGGCTCGGCATCGGAAGTAACTGGGAGAGCTACAGCCCAGCCCCACACCCCAAACTTAAAGCTCCTGTCAATGATCTTCAGTTTATAGGATGTAAGGTGGTTTTTGGAGACATTTATGGAAAAAAAAAACGAGTCTAATAAACCGCAAAATACGGTACTTGTGTTGAGAATCAATTTCATGAATTATTAGCTTGATTTTGTTTAATTTTATAATATGACTTTCTGCTGTTCTGTTATGAGCAGGTTTTATTTTTATCCTTTGCCTAGTTGTACTTCCACCTGAGGTGGACGTACATAACCTACACTCAAGGAGGGGTGGGGCTGTTGCAGTCTGGAGTATCATCTAAACTATGATGTCAGTGCCCTTCTGGGAAGATAGTGATTGAATAAGCAAGTGAAAGTGCTTTCTTTTTTGTCGGGTCACTATCTCAGTGGGAGATAGCCAGTGTTGAAATAAATAAATAAAATATAAATATATAAATATATATATATTCTAGGTAGTAGGTTGGTAGACAGCAACTGCCCAGGGAGGTACTACCGTCCTGCCAAGTGAATGTAAAACAAAAGCCTGTGATTGTTTTACATGATGGTAGGATTGCTGGTGCCTTTTTTTCTGTCTCATGAACATGCAAGATTTCAGGTATGTTTTGCTACTTCTACTTACACTTAGGTCACACTACACATATATGTACAAGCACATATATATACACCTCTCTGTGTTTTCTTCTATTTTCTTTCTAGTTCTTGTTCTTGTTTATTTCCTCTTATCTCCATGGGGAAGTGGAACAGAATTCTTCCTCCGTAAGCCATGCGTGTTGTAAGAGGCGACTAAAATGCCGGGAGCAAGGAGGCTAGTAAGCTCTTCTCCTGTATATATTACTAAATGTAAAAGGAGAAACTTTCGTTTTTCCTTATGGGCCACCCCGCCTCGGTGGGATACAGCCGGTGTGTTGAAAGAAAAAAATATATATATAAATATATATATATATATATATATTATATATATACAGTGGACCCCCGCATAACGATTACCTCCGAATGCGACCAATTATGTAAGTGTATTTATGTAAGTGCATTTGTACGTGTATGTTTGGGGGTCTGAAATGGACTAATCTACTTCACAATATTTCTTATGGGAACAAATTCGGTCAGTACTGGAACCTGAACATACTTCTGGAGTGAAAAAATATCGTTACACGGGGGTCCACTGTATATATATAGATTATATATATATAAATATATATATTATATATATATATATATATATATTATTATATATATATTTTTTTTTTTTTTTTTTTTTCAACAAGTCGGCCGTCTCCCACCGAGGCAGGGTGACCCAAAAAAGAAAGAAAATCCCCAAAAAGAAAATACTTTCATCATCATTCAACACTTTCACCACACTCACACATTATCACTGTTTTTGCAGAGGTGCTCAAAATACAACAGTCTAGAAGCATACACATATAAAGATACACAACATATCCCTCCAAACTGCCAATATCCCAAACCCCTCCTTTAAAGTGCAGGCATTGTACTTCCCATTTCCAGGACTCAAGTCCGACTATATGAAAATAACCGGTTTCCCTGAATCCCTTCACTAAATATTACCCTGCTCACACTCCAACAGATCGTCAGGTCCCAAGTACCATTCGTCTCCATTCACTCCTATCTAACACGCTCACGCACGCTTGCTGGAAGTCCAAGCCCCTCGCCCACAAAACCTCCTTTACCCCCTCTCTCCAACCCTTTCGAGGACGACCCCTACCCCGCCTTCCTTCCCCTATAGATTTATATGCTTTCCATGTCATTCTACTTTGATCCATTCTCTCTAAATGACCAAACCACCTCAACAACCCCTCTTCTGCCCTCTGACTAATACTTTTATTAACTCCACACTTTCTCCTAATTTCCACACTCCGAATTTTCTGCATAATATTTACACCACACATTGCCCTTAAACAGGACATCTCCACTGCCTCCAACCGTCTCCTCGCTGCTGCATTTACCACCCAAGCTTCGCACCCATATAAAAGTGTTGGTACTACTATACTTTCATACATTCCCTTTTTTTTGTCCAAAAAAGGACTTTTTTTTACCCGGGAATATTTTTCCCTCTTCTTTTAACCCACCCAAAAACCTGGCCCATTTTAATCCCAATAAAAAATTTCTTTACCCCCCTTTGAATTCCCCCAAATTTTTCCTTTACTAAACTTTTGCCCCACATTTTTTTTTCTTTTTCCACTTTTTTTCTACCTTTCAAACCATTCTAAAAACTTCCCAAACCTTTAATTTTTTTTAAATCCCATTCACATTTCTGAAAAAAGTAAAAACGGGAACCCTTTAAACCCTTTTTCCCCACCCCCTCTGAAAACCCCTTTGTTTTCCCCTTTCAACCCACTATTTTTTTTAAACCTCTTTTTTTAAAATTAAACCCTTTCAAAACCCTTTTTCGGGATTCTTTTTTTCCCCCTTTTCTAAATTTTCCCAACTCCTTTTAAAACCCTTTCCCTTTATAAAAACCTATATTTGCCTCCCCAAATTCCCTTATTCCCCTCTTTCATACTTTTTTAAACCAAAAGAATAAAACCCCCAACCTTTACCCCCCTCTTTTAACATTTCT